GAATGAATATTTTTTTTTGATCAATAACAGTGTGAATTAATATTTCTTTTATCTCTCTCCGAGTCATTTTCTTCCTACCCTTCCCTCTCTTCTCTCCTTCAACTTCTGTTTCAAGAGGTTAAGCCACCCTCGAAGGGTCTTCCAAGGTGAGCGGTAACTCATCATAGTATGTCATCGGCAATGTCACGGTTGCTCTTCATTGTGCTGAGTGAGGGGCGATTGACAGGGTCCAATGTGCGTGTAGGAGCTCCTACTTTGATACCAACTATCACGGGGCTAGTTGTTTGGGCCCCGTGTGGCACTCAAATGTGACAAGTAAGCCTAAGCAACAAGCAACAACACAAGAAAAGGCAACAAGATGGCATACGAATTAGTCAAAAGGCACTTTGTATTGCATAAATTGGTGGCAAGCAAAAGCACACAATTTAGTGTCGAGGGGATCTCGTGCTTAACCTTTACACGCTACTAATTCACTCGACTACCTACCTCCCCTCAAAGAGTACGTTAAGCTTTTGGGGGAGTGACATAAAGAAACATCAAAATAGTGAAAAATCATACTGTAGAAACACAATACTGCCATTGGCAATCCCCCATACAAAATACATGCAATGACCCACCCAAGACCCACACTGGACACTCGGATGGCATGTTGTGGGTGTGGTGATGGCACTTGATGGCGCGGAAAAGTGGTCACTTGTGACCAAGGTTCAAAATATCGATACGCTCGATACGCCGGTAGGGGCGTATCGGGCGTTTCGATACTTGTTTTTTTACTTTTTTTTTTCAAAACTGGTTCAGAGGAGCCGGTCTAGGACCCCCCCATCCCCTGAAACGGTCAAAGCCCCGATACACCCATTGTAGGGACATATCAGAAGAGTCCCGAAACGATACGTATCGATATTTCGAACCTTGCTTGTGACATCAAGGCGTTTTAGGAGCACCTCGCCTAGAGGTGCACCTCCAGGAATATGCCTCCCACACCTTTTAAAACATTGTTCTAAACCATGGATCATTAATTCTAGGGCCTCAGATCACACGACTAGATCCTCAGACCTATTTACATCTTTATCCCCTCCCTTTATTGTCCAACCGGTTACTCTTGTTGATGGTATTACCTCCCTTATTTCTAGAACTGGTGATGTTGCTTTACATTCTGATTTCACTTTACTGTTGCTTCTATATGTTCCTAAATTTCCTTTTAGTCTTATGTATGTTAGTAAGTTGAGAAAATCTTTGAATTGATACATCTCATTCTTTCCATCCTATTGCATTTTTAAAGATCTCGAGCACAGTTGTCAAGGCGTCGCCTAGGCGACAAAAATGACAAGGTGGGCGCCTTTTATAATATCATTTATATTGGTGTATCTTATTAATGTATGTGTTAATACATTTCATTATATGCTATATATATCAATTATATTTTATTTTAATGCTTTCCTATTGAAATTTAAAAGATCAAAGGGTTTTGAGAAGAGAAAAAGAAAGAAAGAAAAGAAAAGAAAGGGGAAAGAAACAATAGAATAATAAAGTTCTTTTTTCTATTCTCTCTCTAATTAAATAAAACAGAAACTCCATCCTTGTTTTTTTCTATTTTACTTTCCATCTTGAATATTTATCATATAAAGTTATAACCTTTTTAGCTGCTAATTAATATGAATTTGCTCTATTAAATACTTATTATAGTAGTATTATTTTTGCAAATAATGAAATTAAGATATGTAAAAGATTTTTATTTTTAGATGTGATGATTTGCCACATTTTTAGAAGAAATTTAATGTTCTTAATAAAGAGAATTGCTATTTTTCAATAACATACATGCTGAATGGTATATAAAACTAGGAAACTAGCCAAAAGTCAATTTTTCATATTATAATTTTTTTATCGCCTACGTGACTAGGCGCCCTAGTGTCGCCCAGAATCGCCTAGACGCTTGAAAACTATGATCTCAAGACGAGGAAGACGATTGGTGGTGGGCATGAAGCTGGAGGGTTGTATTATCTAGATCATGGTGGATCATAGACAACTCTTCATTCTTCCACTACACCATTGCAGTGGCACTGTCAGATGAGTCATCCCTCTTCCAACTATCAAGAGTCTTATTCCAGATGGTGTGTTCATCTGTGAGATACAATGTGAAGTTTGTCAACTTAGTAAACATCATCGCCTCTCCTTTGTTCCAAGGGAATCTATTAGAGTCTCGAGTCTTTTTGAACTTGTTCCTTCAAATGTTTGGGGTCCTTGTCCAGTTGATTCTTACAACAGTTCTAAATATTTTATTTCCTTTGTTGATAACTTTTCAAGAATGACTTGGAATTATTTAAAGAAATCTCATATAGAAGTATTTGAATTTTTCTCTTTTTTATGTTGAAATTAAGAATCAATTTGGTATCTCCATTAAATACTTTCAGCCTGACAATGTAAAAGAATATTTCCAATGCCCGTTTCATATGTTCTTTGAATCTCATTGCATAATACATCAATCACCCAGCTCCTCCACTACATAACAAAATAGAGTAGCTGAGCAAAAGAATAGATATTTACTTAACATTGCTCAGGCACTTTCGATTCAAATGTCAATTCCAAAAAATATTGGAGTGATGTGGTTCTTACCTCTTGTTTACTCATTAAATATATGCCCTCATTAGTTTTATGTGGTGCCTCCCCTTTCTCCATTGTCTTTCCTTCTCAATCTCCTTTCCCTTGACCTCCGTGTGTGTTTTCTTCATCTCCTAGATCTAGGGTTGGATAAGTTGGATGCTTGTGCTCTTAAATGTGTCTTTTTGGGGTACTCTCGAACCCAGAAAGGATATGTGCTATAGTCCTTCCCTTCGTCACTCCTTTGTTCTTCCTGATGTACCCTTTGAAAATGTTCCTTTCTTTTCCCCAACCGAGTCTACTTCTCTTGATACCCTATCCCCACATCCTCTTCCCTTACCAGTGGAGGTGTTTGTGACTACTCCTATTGCTCAAGAGTCAATGCAACCACCAATCCATCGAGTGTATGCTCACAATCCTTGTGGTATTATGTTTCATCCTTCTCCAGCTCCGCTTTAGCCATCATTAGCTCTTCCGTCGACGGATCCATCTCATTTAGATCCTCCCATTGCGTTTCGCAAAGGCAAGTGTGCATGTATTGATCATCCTATATCTCATTATGTTTTATTTATCCATTTATCCCCATCCTATCAGAATTTTGTATCTCTTCTATCTTTTGTATTTGTTCCTAGATCTCTTCATGATGCTCTTCTCTCTCTAAATGGAAGAGAGCGATGGATGAGGAATTTCATGCTCTTCAATCTAATCATACTTGTGGCCTCACTTCTCTGCCTCCAGGGAAGAAAGCAGTTGGTTGTCAATCGGTTATTAAGTCAATTCATGCAAAACCCGAGGGCAATCCATTGGGAAGGTGATGTTAGAGTTCTACGCTATTTGAAGGGTGCTCAAGTAAAGGGATGTTGTATAAGAAAGGGAGAACTTTCCTTGGAACGATACACAAATGTTGATTGGGTAGGATCGATTATTGAGAGGAAATCAACAACTGGTTATTATACACATTTTTGGCAGGAAATTTGATTACTTGGAAAACAAAGAAGTAGAATGTGGTGGCTAGGAGTAGTGTTGAGGCAGAGTACAGAGCCATGGCCCACACTACATGCGAGTTGGTGTGGTTGAAGCAACTATTACAGAAAATGGGAATATCAATCACAACTCCCATTAAGCTTTTTTGTGACAACCAGGCAACCATTCATATATCCTCCAATCCAGTGTATCATGAGAGAACTAAACACATAAAGGTGGATTGTCTTTTTGTAAGAGAGGTGATTAGTGGAGAAAATTACTACCCCATATGTAAAGTCTAAAGATCAACTAACTGACCTATTTACCAAAGGCTTAAGTGGTGCTCGAATGAAATACATTTGTTTTTAGGGGTATTACTATAATATTCATTTCTTTTTGAGTATAACATATTGGGGTGGCAGTTGTGTCTCTCTAGATAGAGACTGTTTGCCCTATTCTCTTCGTCACCCTCTTCTCGTCTTCTCTCTTGCTTCTCCTCCTGGATCATATCAAGAGTGTTTCTTCATTTATTTAATTAAATACAGGTCTGATATCATGATCACTGGTAATGTTTAGGAGAGGCTGCATCATGTGCCTCTCCAAGGGATGTTTGTAAAGCTTTATTCTTCTTGATTATTGAAATTAATTTTCAATTATCAATCAAGAAAACATTTCATAAGAAAAAAGATATTTGATGTGTACATAACTATTCATTTGTCAAAGAATTATCAAGAGAAAGAAAAACATCAAATTAAGAGTTCCTCAAGTATCCATAGTGTTGGAGTCCAACGTAAAGCTTTATTCTTCTTAATTAATGAAATTAATTTTCAATTATCAATCAAGAAAACATTTCATAGGAAAAAAGGCATTTGGTATGTACATAACTATTCATTTGTCAAATAATTATCAAGAGAAAGAAAACATCAAATTAAGAGTTCCTCAAGTATTCATAGTGTTGAAGTCCAACGTGCAACTGACATAAACACTTCATCCATAAGGAAAGTCCGTGCAACTGACAAACCAGAAATGATTCCCTCCCTCTCTCTCTCTCTCTCTCTCTCTCTCTCTCTCTTAACGAATAAAATTAGCTTACAATATATTAAGTACATTATAAGGGATAGCATATTTATGTCCACGTCCTGGATAATAGGAAATGAAGAGCCATATCCCTGAGAATTCTATATCTATTTAGTATATGGAGGAGCATCCAACTTCTATCTATTTCGAAGGAAAATATTTTAAAGATCCATTCAATTAAGGAAACATAAAAAGTAAAGCAATATATAAGCATAATAGATTGTTGAAGGCCATTGCTTTTTCATCATTCAGAACTGAAGGGGAATGCACAAGCCCATTTTATTAGTTAACTTTATTGACATCTTTGTATATGCAACAAAGCATCATAGAATGTTGAGTAAATGCCGAAGAGGTAAATAACTCACATTTGAAAGTAGCTGGGTTTCTCATCTCTTCAGGCAAATAACTGCAACATTAACCAAAAGAAATTTGAAATTTTTAATTGACAAATAAACAAGCAGAAATTGCAAAATATATACTAATAACAATTTGTAAATGTAATATCAAATGTAAAGCATTGTGTGTTTATGTATTTATATAAAGAGATGAGGTTAAAACAACAGAAGGTATGTGTGTCTTAAGGAGATCTAAGCAGGGAGAAAGTTGAATCCTACAGACTTGCACACCCAGGATGGGAGGCAATATAACAAAACAACCCAAATTCTCCTATCAACAGCAGGTTATATGAATAAAACCAACATGTTTCCCATATAATAGACTTATATGAAGGTTTGCTTTGTAGCTAATCCTATCAAAATGAGATGGCTACATAGAAGCATATCCACTACTCCTTGGTTTTCTGCTATAACAACATAAACTCTGCTGGTTATTAAAAAAAAAAAAAAGGAAAAAACTACGCAGCTCTTTACCAATTACCCCATGATCCCCAAGTGTTTCTTGTTTTTTTATAAATCCCCAAGTGTTTCTTGTTTTTTATAAATCCCCAAGTGTTTCTTGCTAATTATATTATTCTAAATTAACTTCATAACTTGTTCTTTACTTTGCACAGATTCCAAGGACAACATATCTGAACTCATCTTCAATCATGCTAGAAAACTCTGTAATATGATCTCCACTAGTAGAATTTGCATTTCTCCCTCAATCTTTTGCAATCTTGCTCCCAAAGCTTTGCCCATTTGTAGCTAAAAGTGCACCACAAGTTTTTTTTTTCTCCATGGATAAACTCCGGTTAGGGTTTCTATCCTGTCAAAGTTAGAATTTGCAAATAATACTCAAACTTTAGGTTCCTATTCTATGATCCTGAGTCTACTTTTTCCAACCAAAGGCTAAGATCAGAAAGACTTGTAACATTAAAACCAGAGTATTAAAGAATTTCATTTTCATCCAGTCCCAAACATGAGTGAATCAAAGGAATACTCAGATCTGATTTCTCTATATACCTAATTAAGTATATATATGGTGATGCAACAACCAATGCTAAAACACCTATGGGACAGCATCCAATTTCACAGTTACAATGGGCTTCCACCAAGGTTCCGCACTGTTGTAAGGCCTATTTAATTGTTTCTTTGTAGTTTCTGTTAGTAGGCTGACTTCTTAAGATACTGTCAGTTAGTTACTTTTCTTTTTTCCCTATTAGTTTGGTTCTAGGGTGTGCTGCCAGGGGCATACTTGTAATTTCCATTCTTTTTATTAAGTTAATATAAATAGAGAACTGGCGTCAGCCAGTAGTGATTTTTCCTTTTCCTCTCAATCGTATCTCCCTTTCTTCTGCTTCTCTCTCTCTATCTCTCTCGTCTCCCACTCTCCATGAATGATTACATGGTATCAAAGCAAGGTTTTTTGGGCTGTAAAAGAACTTCGATCCCTCCTGTTTTGAACCTGCTTCGCCTTTTCTTCCTTCTTTAAATTCTAGGACGTGGAAGACAGAGAAACCCTAGCAGATTACTGGCAGCACCTCCTGTGTTTTTTTCCTTGGTCGTAATATCAAGGAAACCCTAGTCGGAGAAGGGCAATGCTGATAGAGACTCTCTTCCTTCTCTGTTCGATGCTGTGAAGTTGATTTCAGGTTGGCACCTTCGTACAGGTACTGGATTGGCCAAGGGTGAGACAGTTGAACATGATAGGTGGGACCAAGAAAACAGTAAGGTGATGTCTTGGTTCCTCGCACCTTCCTTTATTTTCCATTCCCATGAGAGTCTTTGGTTGTCGTGCCTTTGTCCATGATTTGTCTCCATCTCGAGGTAAGTTAGACCCTCGGTCCATTCCTTGTATCTTTCTGGGGTATCCCTCATCTCAAAAAGGGTATCGGTGCTTTGATCCCATTAGTCGTAAGTTTTTTGTCTATGGATGTGTCCTTCTTTGAGTTTGAGCCATTCTTCCCTGCTTCTCCTCAGGGGGAGAGTAGTAGTGTGGAAGAGAAGCAGGTTCAGGTATCTCTTCCTTGTGTTCCGGACCTTGCTCATTTTCGTGTCTTCCAACGTACACGCCGTAGAGATCAGCGATGTGATAGAGATGTGGAGCAGCTAAATACTGAGCAACCGACACCGTTAGACTCCCAGGAGGTAAGTCCACTCCCTAACCCTACTCCTACTRTGGATGACCTTGACATTCCTATTGCTCAACGAAAGGGAGTCAGGTCATGCACTACCAAACACCCCATTACCCATTTTGTCTCGTATGATCACATTTCCCCCTCATACCGAGCCTTCCTATCTACAGTTGATTGCATCCTTGTTCCCAGAAATGTTGTAGAAGCCTTAAAATGCCCTGAATGGACAGATGCCATGAAAGAGGAGATTAATGCTCTTCACAAAAATCAAACTTGAGAATTGGTGGATCTTCCAAAGGGGAAAGACCCCGTGGGGTGTAAATGGGTGTTCACAATTAAACACAAGCCAGACGGAACAGTTGAAAGGTACAAAGCAAGATTAGTAGCCAAAGGGTACACACAAATATACGGGGTTGTTGACTATGATGAGACTTTTGCTGCAGTAGCTAAGATGAACTCAATTAGGGTTCTCCTGTCCTTAGCTGCTAATCTTGACTGGGAATTGCATCAACTGGACATAAAGAATGCTTTTCTGAATTGTGACTTAGAGGAGGAAGTATACATGGTTCAACCCCCTGGATTTTGTGCCAAGGGAAGTGAAAATAAGGTGTGCAAGCTGCGAAAGTCTCTTTATGGCTTAAAACAATCTCCTAGAGCCTGGTTCAGTAAGTTTCACATGGTAGTTCAGCAGATGGGCTTCAAACAATGTCAGTCTGATCATACACTTTTTGTGAAGAGATGTCAGAAACAGGTTGTTGTATTGATAGTGTATGTGGATGATATCATCATTACAGGAAGTTGGAGTTCAGAGATACAAAAATTGAAACAATTCCTTGCATCTAAATTTGAAGTGAAAGATCTAGGTCCCCTGAAGTATTTCCTTGGGATTGAAGTTGCCCGCTCAAAAAAGGGTATCTTTATCTCTCAAAGGAAAGACACCCTTGATCTATTACATGACACAGGCAAATTAGGTGCAAGGCYGGCAGATACTCCCATGGATGTTGACCACAAGTTAGGTGACTGTGATGGTGAACCTCTGAAAGATGTGAAACAGTTCCAAAGGTTAGTGGGAAAGCTGATTTATTTGTCCATGACCCGTCCAGACATTGCCTATTCCATTGGGGTCCTAAGCCAATTCATGCACTCTCCTAAGAAACCACACATTGAGGCAGCAGAGAGAGTTCTTAGATACTTGAAAAAATATCTCGGAACAGGTGTTGTGGATGACTGAAAGTCCACAAGTGGGTATTGCATATTTGTGGGAGGAAATCTAGTGACCTAAAAAAGCAAGAAATAAAATGTGGTAGCAAGGTCAAGTGTTGAAGCTGAATATAGAGCTATGGCACATGGGGTGGCTGAAGTCCTTTGGCTAAAGAATCTTCTAGGGGAGCTTAGAGTTGTTGTTCATAGTCCTATGTCTCTTTACTATGACAACAAGGCTGCAATAAACATCGCCAGCAACCCTGTCCTACCTGAGAGGACCAAGCACATTGAGGTCGACAAACACTTCATAAGGGAAAAATTGGAAAAAAGGGAAATTTGCATCCCTTGTGTCAACTCCAAGGAACAACTTGTTGATGTCCTCACAAAGGGGCTTCCATACTCGCGGCACAATGAGTTATGTGACAAGCTGTGCATGATAGACATATTCAGCCCAACTTGAGGGGGAGTGTTGCAAGGCCTATTTAATTGTTACTTTGTAGTTGTTGTTAGTAGACTGACTTCTTAAGATACTGTCAGTTAGTTACTTTTATTTTTTCCTTATTAGTTTGGTTCTAGGGTGTACCGCCAGGGGCATACTTGTAATTTCTATTCTTTTTATTAAGTTAATATAAATAGAGAACCGGCGGCAGCCAGTAGTGATTTTTCCTTTTTCCTCTCTCTCTCTCTCTCATCTCCCACTCTCCATGAATGATTACAAGCACTTTGCACTTATTTATTTGCATTGATCATGACAATGCTTTAAAAGCACAAGGCACAAAAAAAGCAGAAATGGCCTTTTGTGCCTGAGGCGCAAGGCACACACACCTTTTTGAAGCAAGGCACAAAATTCAAAAAAAAAAAGTCAAAAAGATAAGCAAACAAATGTAAATAAATAAAATAAAACAATTATCAAAAAATGTAAATAAATAAAAAATATTGAAAATAATAATAACTAAAAATACAAACTTCAAGTTTAAACTAAATATTTATAAAAGATTATTAGCTCAAATTAAAACACATAACTATAACATATAAAAATATACAAAGTGGAAATGCATACAACAAAATTAAACTTTCAATTCCTTTACTTCTTTCCTAATTGCACTATTTCAAATGGATAAAATGAACAACATTAGCAAGAGATGCAAGGCACATAACAACTATGACAAACATCTTGTCTTCCCTAGAAACCACAAGAGGGGAGGGGGAGGACCAATAGAATGCTAATATTCTATTTAACTATTCAGGGTGGAGTTGTGTTTTCCAAGTGATGTGAAAAGCTAATTTGGTGCTTAGCATGCCTTAAAATGTCCCTAATTTTCCTAAGATTTCCACAACATATTTCCATTTCCATGGGTAATGACACAAAACTTACCAGAATTGACAAATTCCCCAATAAACACTACCAGCACTATGTGAAGTACAAGAGATAGTATTATAACATAAGTCCGTGACAGTATCGTAGATATGTGGAGTACAAGAGATAGTTTCCATGACAATACATATTCCCCAGCCAACACTACCAGTACAAGAGATAGCATTACAACATAAGTTGGTGACAATATTGTACATATGTGGAGTAACAATGGCATTACCCGTTTAACTTACATGATTGCCACGTTGAGATAGCTCAATATCCATTTCAAGCATGAAGTTAAATAATAGTTTTTATTTGTGTAATAGATTATTTGGTTGATCTATTACAACCATTTACATTCTATTTTGCTTTAACGCATTCCATCTTGAAGCTCTAACTCTTAGGGTTGATAGGGCAACACCAGAACATATTTTTTTTGTCTATAACCTTAGTTTTTTAGATTTGGAAAAAGACAATAATTTAAAAAGGTTTGCCTATGCTTCTTTTATCATTTCATAGAATATCAATCTATATTTTGCATATTTTACAATGTTTCCACCATGTCTATAATTTTTACAATATGTCCATATGATATTTCTAACATTTCCAACATGTTTCTTATATTTGGATGACCGACATTTCCACCAACACCAACATTCTAAACCTTGGTTTTTAGTGCTTAAGATGTTTGAGTAAAGCAGGTAATGTGGCTTGGGAAGTATCCGGCAGCAGTTTTTTGCAGTGGGGTGAAAGAAATGCCCAAATTTTTTAGGGTGAACAAGGATCAGTAGAATATGTAATTAAGAAAGTAGTGTGTATGTTTTTTTCTTGGTTGGCAAATCACAATTTATTTATAGAGAAAACTTACAAACTCTTCTTTTACTAAGGGAAATCTCTTTTTAATGGTTGGGTCTTGACTCTTGAATGGGTTTATGATGTTGATTTGGATTGATATCCTTGTTCAGATCTTCTTTGTACAGGGTTTGCCTTTTGTTATTCCATTTTTTTGGTAATGAATACTCGCTTCACTGTTTTCAAAAAATATTTACTATTTAACTATTTATATAACTATATAAAAAAATCTTGCAATTAATCTTGAGTTGCAGGAAACAAGATCTAAGAAATTCATTCAGGCCACAAGGCATCACCTGATGCAAGACAAAATGTAGAAACACAATTTAAATTTTAAAATAAGAGGTTTACATACGGATAAACCATCTTTTGTACTGTTGGGTCTTCCATCATTTTCTCCAAAGCTTCAACTGATAAGACAGAACCAGATTTTCCTGCCCATGAATGCATAAAAGCTTAGTCGGGTTCTCCAAAGAAACATTATTGGTGTCTCCATATCGGAAAGGAGAAGAAGGTAATCAACTTTGCCCAGAAAATAAAATGATAAATTATAAACTAGTCTAGTAGAGTATGGCAAAGAATTGTGCTATGACTATTTGAGAAGAGAAGAATGCAAGAATTTGTCTTGAAAAGGAAAGGGGTAAGGAAGCTATGAAACAATGTGTTATGACTAGGGTGATTCATTGAGTCAGAACAATGTGACAAGACAGAACCAGTTTCTTTTTGTTTTTTTTTTTTTTTCTTTGACAAGTGAAGTGAAATCTTATTAAAGCAGCAAATAAAATCAGTACAATCATCTCTTAAAGAGGCACAAGGAGTTACCTCTTACAATAAAACAAAATAAAAAACATATTACAACTGTACACAATACAACAAATTTCTGTTCTCCCCTTGTGTAGCTAGAGAATCTGCGATCCCATCAGCTGATCTCCTCACCCAAAGTATTCTCACATTCACATTTCTGGTAAACCATTTAAATTTCATCATCTCATTCCTAAAACACCATAAAATAGACTCCAGTTCCTGTAGCCATCCTATCACCAGCTTTGAATCCCCTTCAATCTCCATGTTAGCCATTGAATTCATATGCAATCTGTACTCCTTGCATGGCAGCAAGCATTTCAGCCCTGATGGAATCACCACTCACACTGGACCAAAAAATAAAGCTATGACAGAACTGTTTTTATCTCTCATCACCCCTCCTATTCTAGAGGGGCCAGGGTTGCCTTGACTTTAGGGGGTGCAGTTAGCAAAAGACTTGGATTTAGACAAATTGATTATCGAAGATGATTCCAAGATGGTAGTGGGATGGTTAAAGAATCCAGAGACTGCTAGCTGTGTAAAGGGACAAAAAGAAGAAATTTAAATGGCTTACTAGTAAAATGATAGTGAGGATATGATGGGAGAGAAGATCAGCCGGTATGTTGGCTGCTCTTGGCTAATCAAGGGGTTAACAGGGTTCAATTATGTTGGGCTGAATTGTAATCTGATTTTTGTGATATTTTGTAAATTGAGAGGTGTATCTCATACCTCTCTTTGGGATGCATGTATTGCTGCATTTAAGGTTCTAAAAATTGAAGTTACTTATCAAAAAAAAGTCACGTTATAAACTAGTTATTCATATACAGCACAACCAACAAGTAAGAATAATTGTTAAGCCGAGGTAAAACAATAAGAAGAAACGAATAGACATTGTGAACAAGGGAACAATTTGCATTAGCTAGTCAAAAATAATGGATATGAAAACCAAGTGTGCCAAAATATCAGAGTTCACAAATTACTGTTAACTCACGATTAGATTGGGACTGCTCCCTAGGAGATCCATTATCTTGCTTGGCAGTAGTTCCATTTTGTGAATCCTTCACAGAAATTTCAAAATAACTTACAATGGAAACCTAATATCAGAATACCAAAGCCCCTCAAGAAAGAAAACTCATGAACATGCTTACTTCACCAGCATATTTAACTTCCTGGGAGGGAGTTGTCTCAATTGATTCTTTAGGACTTTCAAAGGCAGACTTCTTCGACACCTCATCTGGAGAAACATCTACAAAAGCTGCATCAAAAAGTTTAATAAGAATAACCAACTAAAAAAGGATATTCAAAACCAGATTAAAATACATAGCAAGTAGAAGCATCTCTCATAGGCTCAATGAAATCATGAATCCCGTTTTGATTTGAATCCAAGTCCACAAATCCTTTTTCTGCAAAAATCTTACAATTACTGTTTGAAGCCTACAATTTGTCATTTTATTTTGTTAATTTTTAGTTTTGTCAAGGTAACTTGTTTTAAAGACCACACTAGAAATTGACTTATTTACGTTATTTAAACCATATATTGAGTTTTTTATGTAGCATACATAGGATAAAAAGTCATTTTATGTAGATTATTTTACTTTCAAGTCAAACTTGATTATATCATCTTAGACTTCTATTTATAAGTGGTAAATTCTATTGATTTAGGTACATAAATGGTAGATATGGATTAAAAATAGGGTAGGATCACTATTCTATATATATTTTGCCTTTTGGCAAATCTATATTTTATTTTTTGTTTTGAAAAAATAGAAATAATCTTACGGATGTTTTTTTATGAATGTATAAGAAATAATGTTTCAAACAACCATCCTTTGCAGAATGCACAATATACCTAGTCTAATTTACAAGTGGGGTTTGTTGTAAGTTGGACAGGTTCCTAGTCACTTCGGTATGAGAGGAATACTTTGGGTCGACGGTACTAAAAAATTTGGCGAGACCAATTGCGTACCACTAGCCATTTTTATTCCAATCTGAAGAGATATCCTTTAGCCCTACAGCTTTCAGGTTTGAAAACATGTGGATAAACGGTTTAAATTTATGCTAAACCACTCTCAGTGATGGAAGAGATATCGACTAGCCATTTTCAGCTTTCAGCTTTCATTTTTATCATAAACCACTCTCAGTTTAAGGAGAATATAGAAAGGTGGTGGAAGGAGTGTCATTTGGAAAAGTGGGCTGGTTTTAAATTTATGCTAAAATTAAAATGGATTAAGGAGAAGCTCAAGTCATGGAATGTTCAGACCTTTGGAAGGGTGGAGGAGAAGGTGGAATTGTTAACTCAAATTGAAACCTTAAATAAGACAGAGGAGGAAAGTAGGGGATTAAGTGATGATGAAAGACAAAAAAAGAATGAAATTGAAGGCAGATTTGGAGACAATGATAAGGAGGGAGGATATTTGTTGGTGACATAAGTAAATGTGTAAGTGGTTAAAGTAGGGGGATGGCAGCAGAAAATTTTTCCACCTGATGGAAAATGGAAGAAGAAAGAAAAATCTGATTTCTGGGATGTTGGTCAAAGTGGAGGAAATAAGGGACAAAAATGAAATTGAGACTTTTGAGAGTGAATTACTCTTACATTACAAGGCCTTGTATGCACCTTGGTGCCACAGAGGCCTGTTTTTGGAGGGAATTCAGTGAGAAAGAATTCCATCAGAATTGTTTGCAAGGATTGAGGAACCTTCTTGGGAGGAGATAAAGAGGATTGTAATGGGGATGAGCGATGATAAGGCCCCTAGGCCAGATTAGTTCACTATGGCCTTTTACCATGTGTTAGGAAAATTTGATGAGTTTTATAGGAGGGGAAAATTTGCAAAGGAGAAGAATGCAACCTTTGTCTCACTAATTCCAAAGTGTGTGGGAGATGCCTCTAGACATGACTTCAACCTATTACTCTAACCACAAGTTTGTACAAAATTGTGGCTTAAGTGCTGACAGTTAGACTTAAAAATGTGTTGCACTTTGTGGTATTGAAAGAACAAGGGACTTTTGTTAAGGATAGGCAGATTCTGGAACAAACTCTAACAGCTGATGAGGCAGTGGAGACAAGAAGAAAAGGCATTGTGTTCCAACTGGATCTGGAGAAAACTTATGACCATGTAGATTGCGGTTTCCTCTAATGGGTAATGGAGCAAATGGTTTAAATTAGAGGTGGACAAAGTGGATAATGTGGTGTTTGCATGGTTTAAAAAGTCCCCAATTTCCCTAATACTTCCACGACATATTTCCATTTCCATGGATAGCGACACAAAATTTTACCAGAATCGACATTTCCCAATGAACACTACCTGCACTATGTGGAGTACAAGAGATGCTTCCTATGACATTCCCATTTCCACTTCCATGGATAGCAACATGAAATTTTACTAGAATCGACATATTCCCTAGTGAACACTGCCAATACTATGTAGAGTCCAAGAGATAGTATTATAACATAAGTTGGTGACGATATTGTAAATATGAAGTAACAATGCAAATGTCCACCTAACTTACATGATTACCACTTTGAATTAGCTCAATATTCATTTCAAACAAGAAGTTAAATATTAGTTTTTTGTTTGTATAATAGATTATTTGGTTGATCTATTACAACCATTTACATTTTCTGAGTTAAAACTTCGCTTTAACTCATTCTTTCATAAAGCTCTAAATCTTAAGGTTTACAGGTTAACTCCAGAGCATATTCTTTTGTCTATAACCTTAGTTTCTTAGCTTTGTTTAATGATTTAGAACAAGATAATAATTTAAAAAGGCGTGTCTATACTTCTTTTATCATTTCATAAAATACCATTTTATATTTTGCATATTTTACAATGTCTCCGTCATGTTTATAATTTTTACAATATTTCCGACATTTCTGACATGTTTCTTATATTTGGATGAATAACATTTTCGCCAACATAGACACTTTAAACCTTGGGTGTTTGAGGAGCATCCATTTTGCAATTCGTATCAATGCCTCCCGAAAAGATTTCTTTTAGGCATAAAGGGGTATAAAACAAGGAGACCCATTGTCACCAATGTTGTTTATTTTGGTCACCGAGATCTTTAGTAAGCACTTGAAAGGCCTTATGAAAGAAACACTTCAGTGGGTTTAGGGTGGGAAGATAAAATCAAGTAGTTTCTCATTTGCAGTTCACAAACAAGATTTTGATCTTAGGTGAATTTAGGGAAATTCAAGAGGTCAGAGCCATGAAACACATATTGGAAAGGGAGGAGAGGATTTCTGGTTTGGAAATCATGGTTTCAAATGTGCCAAATGTCGCTAATGTCGCCCGACATATGTCGATGTCGAGGCTCACCAACATGAAAGTGGATGGTAATATAAAAATTACATTATGTCGGTCGACATTTCCTATATTTCGGAAATGTCAACCAAATCGATCCAAATAACCAAAAAAATACAGTTTTTCCTATTATGTCGACAAGATGTCGACTAATGTACATTAAAAAAATAATATATTAGTATATTATA